CACCCACAGCAGTCCCAAATATAAAATAAATCATAACCTGTGAAAGAGTAAATTGATACACTGCCTGAAATTGCAAGTGACAGGTTTGATCAAGGCTAGTTAGAAACATTTATCACTCAAAGGTCTAGAGACAGAAAGATACAGAGGGGTTACTTTAAACATTAGAGGAATGGGAAAGTGGAGTGATTGAAGAAGGGCAATGTAATTTATCAGAGGAATCACTCTCTTACCTGCAGAGTTGATAAGAAAGCAGCTCAGCAGACAGAAAGTGGATCAAATAATGTTTCCTACAGGAGTGTGTCGAAGGGCAGCTCCCAGGGCTCCTCTCTTCACGACAACTCTATCAGCTCTCAAGGAAACCACAAGAAAAACAGCAAAACAAAAGCTGATATGGAAATCCAGAACCAGACCCTGGTAAGTGCTTTAGTACCTGAAAACAATATTACCTTTTTTTTTTAACTTCTGGATGTGTTCCGTATTGCTGGTACAGACGAACAGGATAATAACTGTTTATATATGACAGAAAGATTTTGTGTAGCTAGAGAACGATGAATTAATACAAAAGTTGGCAGCTCCGCTACAGGCCAGATTATGCAGCTGCTCGTGAAGATCCTACTGCTTCTGCTGGCGGTTCAATTTCAGGGGAAATGTATGCACAATGAGGCCATAATCATACTGCAGTACAGTGAAATAATAGGACCATTTTCTTTTTTTCCCTTTTTTCCTCTTTCCCTGAAAATTGCATGCCGCTGTTGAACATTCCTCTGAACATTACTGACATCATTAAACCTAAGAAATGCAGTGCTGGTGGGGAAAAGGCGAAGTATTTGACCACATTTGGGAATATTTGTCATGTAAGAGGGAAGCTTTCAAAGGCAAAAGCACACATTGGTCCCTGGCTCTCTCTGTACCATGGAAAGTCTCCTTGTTAATGCCTTGTAGTTAGTTCTGAGCTTCAGTGCGGTACTAACTGTACCTGATACTTTAATTTGCCTAGCCAGTAGGAATGTTGTAATTCAGAAGAGAAATAGTTTTTTCGATTAGCTGCTAGATTCTGGTTCTTCAGGGGTTGTGTGGGCGGTTAACTTTTGTGCTTCTTGAAAAATGTACGCACGGAGTTTGGGATTGTCACCTAAAGTCACACTGAACCGGTGCCCTTCCTTGTGAAGCTTTTAATAATTAACCTTAGAATTTAGTGAGCAATTTCTTGCCTAGTAGAGGGCCTTTCCAGTGATGTTTTAAAGTGCAAGCGCCAGGAGAACAGAGATGCTTTAACTTGATCTTTTGTGATTAAACTTCATCAACGTTCTGTCCTCATGCCTGATAGCGGTCTTGACCATGTTATGATTATTATTAACATAATCATAATTTTCACAAAATAGTTTGAAAACTTGTGCCAAGTTTATATACTGAACATTAAATTGAGGCTATTACTTTTGTTGTTCTGATAAAAGTGAGTCATTGAAGTACTGCACATGCGACAATTTTACTTGAGAGAATTTGAAATACAAAGTAATTTATTTGGGAGGTGTTTCAAGGGTAAAACATCTTTCAAAAGGCTTTATAGTGGGAATTTGAAAAACTAGTAGCTTGGTATTGATGTTTAGGGTGCTTAAAGCTACAGTATCATACATGATTGCAACCTCCAGCCTTTTTTTTTTTTTTACTTTCATGGAAATAATATCTTTACCAAGAACATCCACAAGGTCATTTTTGCAAAACTTATGGGGAGCATATGCAGAATGAACGCGTTGGAAAACTTTTTCCTTCTGACTCCCGTGGTATCATCTCTTCTTTGAAAATGTAGATGTCCCCTGCATTATAAAACCACAAATTATAAGCGTATCTAAGGCTGTCCTTGTAGTGTCACTGAAAGGAAAGAGAGAGAATGAAAGTCTGGAAATGTGCAATATGCAGGAAATTCAATCCAGCTGATCTAGAACTTTGATAGCAAAGCACAGCCCCTTATCAGAGCCACTCAGTTTAACCATGCCCCATTTAATATGGTCCTGACAGCTTAGGGTATATCTTCGCTGTACAGAAGTACAAAAAAAACCTCTGCCCGTTGCTCCTACAATTTCTTTTTAACTTATTATTTTCTAATGCTGCAATAATTTGCTGTGCTTTCTGTCTGTCATTTTGCAAAGTCTTTCTAAAGGCAACGATAATAGTCGTTTAGGACTTTAAGTATATCTTCAAGAAACGCACTTTGTGTTATCAGGGAAGTACAAAGATTGTCCCTAATATACATAAATAATGGAGGAGCACTAATTATTCAGTTTAGCTTTTAGGGACAAGTTAGACATGGCGAAAAGGCGTTACCTATCCTATACCATGCACTCCGTTGTTAAGCTGGAAATCAAAGTATTTTCTATATAGAAAAAGGTTTTATATAAATATTTATATTTATATTTATATATTTTTATATTTATAAATATAAATATATTTATATTTTATATAATATGATATATTTTCTATATATCAAAGTATTTTCTATATTTTCTATATTCTATATATATTTTCTATATTTTGAAGATTGAATTGCATTATATGCTTTGTCTTTGCGAGTTTCATATTATGTTTTTGTTGCATTTGATTCCTAAAGAAATATCTAGTGCCAAAAGGCTAAGGACATTTAGAACAAAGACAATGCAAGCATATGCTTACAGTTCTTAACGCTAATTTACGGAAGAGAGCTACTGTAAGATTCCACAGTATGTGAGATTTTGCCTTGTCTTCCAAAGTTGTACAAGAAGAACAATGGAAAGTCTTTAAATTCAAAGTTCATGCATCTTATTACTGTCGTTTTCAGTTAGTCTTTGTGTCTGCTTACTCTGAAGCACATTGCAAAGGATAGGGAGATATCTGTGTCTGAAAACAGTAGCATGTGGTATCATGGCCCATTGTGCATTTTTTTTTCCTTGTAAAAAGACAAAATGAATGCTTTTGGAGAAAACAGCATAAATCTTTTGAAAAACCCTGGCCTAAGAGGATTCCTTTTCTTCTGAGAACAATGTAAATGTATGCAGTGATAAGGGTCAGTGTGGAAGCCAGTATATTTCAAAACTGCAAATCATACATATCCTGCTTCTTTCAGTCCTGGCTATAACATTTTTAACATTAATTTTCTAAAAGGTTTTTCTGTTAAAACCTGTTTACTTTTTGACAATTAGATCTCTTTTCTCCTGATTTACCAGGTAAAGACTTGGAGCACTCTCATGCTATAACATATGCACCAATTACCTCTGGTTTTTGTTCATGCAAAGATCATTATTGTTTGACTGCTATTGGATTTATGGAAAAAGCAATGTTCCACCGGTGGCGGCCTTGTGCATTCACCTTCAAAGGGATATGCTTCCTGCTAGTGTTCATCAAAAAAGCACTTTGCTCTAAAGGCCAGCCAAACATAAAAGGCATAATCCTTTAGCCCACACCAAGGATATTCCACATTTTCCAGTACTTTTTCATGTCCTTGGCTGGAGCTTAAGGTGGGACGCAATCATTTTTGTGCTGCACTGCTTCATTTCATCTTTGCGATTTTATTACAGCCCAGTGTAATTTAGAAAAGCCATGGGCTGTACTTTGTGAGGTGGAAGAGCGGCACCAAAATCAAGACACCAGGAGTTGGGTATAGCCTGCTCTGTCTGCAGTCTGTGTATTTGGGGAATACCCGGAAATCTATCCTAATATTGTGAAATGTCACATCAGTAGCAAGGCACAGACTGCCATGCAGTCTGCAAACGTGAAGAATTGTTTTACCCGTAATTTGATGCCAAATGATCACATACTCTCCTCTTCATTTTCCATAGCCTGAGGAGCCTCATTTCAGAAGAAAAAAGATGTAATCAAATCTCTGGATTAAGAGATTATAAATAACCTTTTAAAAATATGGGGAGCAAATCTTTCATGTCTTACTGAAGCTAGTCACAGGAGGTCGATAGGACTACTTGTGTAAGCTAGACAAGCGCAATATATACTATGATCAAAGATATTAAAGTCATGCAAATGATGATGAATCCTTCTGTTTTATAGTACAAAATGAATTTAATGTTACTGTGAATATAAACAAAATCAACCAGTTGCTGTAAGTGGTTTAAAACAGCAGAGAGTGATTAACAAATAACTTAAGAGATCTGGGAGATTGAAGTAATGTTTCCTGCAGGAATGGCTATCCTGCCCTCAGGACCCTGAAAGTATCTTCATTCCTCTTTGATTTATATATATTGACTTGGCACAAACACACGTCCTTGTGTTTGAATTATGGCCACTGGTGGTATGTAACGGAAGGAGTTCACTGTATGTTAGGGAGATGCTCACCTTACATATGCTCTTTGGAAAATAGGAATGCGGAAGAACAGAGCAAAAACACGCATTCATCTGGAAAACAGAAAATCTACTGGGTTAGAATAACACGTACTAGAAACAAGTAAAAAGCTTGAAATAAGGGCTCTCTCTTAGTATGTGCTGCATTCGTATATTAAGCTTTGCTCTCTGTTTAGCTAATAAAATGCTATTTAATAGGAGTGGAAACAGAGACACTAAAGTTAAGTGATTGCAAACTGAATCGAAGAGATACTGTGTCACATATTAAATTCACCTTTTTTTAGCATAGGATGTGAAACATGACATTTCTAGAGAGTAACAAATACGAGCTCATGAGACCTCAGTGTAATTCCCTATTCTTATTTGAAAAGAAATTGTAGGAGAACCCTTTTCCTCTTCAGGAACTGTATCTTCCAAGGATATTTTTTTGACTGCTGCATACTGTAACTTTTAATGAAGTTAAAGTTATTACCCTCACATGTCAGTGACAGAATGAGACGGGCTGTACACTTGCACTCTTAGTAGCTCTGTAACAATACTCTGCTTTCTTTCTGAAAAAATATTCTGTAGTTCTGATGAAATGGCGTAAACAACGTCTCAGATGTTCTTCACTTTTGTTGTTGTGCTATGTACAGGCTAAAGTAGTCACAGAAAACCTGCAAGAAGAAGAGGAGGACACCATGGCAAGGACTACATGTCAGAGTCATGTAATAGGTACAAAATTATGTTTTACGCTGGATTTTATTGCTGTCTCAGTTCTTGGAAAAAACATGTTTAACCCTCATTACTTTATTCGTTTGCCCACCTAATGTCTTTCAGCAGTCGTTTAGCGCTGTTCAGGGATAGCCAGGTTTCGCCAGCTATATAACAGATGAGTACATACTGCTGCTGTCTGTCACGGAGCAAAGCGATACTTAATGGACGGACTTTGGAAGTTGGCTGTGAAAGACCATCTCAGTCTCCAGAGCTAGCGGGTTGCATACAGTGCCCTGACTCTAGGGCTGTTTTGCATGATGCTTTCAGTGAGAGTAATGCTGGTATACTGTAGCGCTGCAGTCTGGCCTTGAATTAGCTCTGTCTGCAGCCAAATGCCGGCGTAACATTCTGAACAGCAGAATAATTCCTGCGGCAATCTAACCCCGAATGAGTAGCAAACCAGGTGTCTCTTTGGAGAAGAGGTAGACCTTAAAAGTATTCCTGCAAATAAATAAAGGTGCCTTTGGCATATGCTTTTCAGGAGGGCAGCACCATCAGTCCTGCTTCTGGATTGACATGTACTCATTTTTAACCACAGATAAATTTTCAGTACTTGCTAAAATATCTACTAGGTAATGGAGGACAAAGCAAAGTCTATAAGCGTAGCAAGTGGGGCTGAGCAAAAGTATTGTTTTGAAACACACTTCTCTTTGGGGTAGGAAAATGTTGGCAGTGCTTTATTGACTTGCGCATCCTTTCCGGTCCCAAATTCCACCAAATAAACTCTGGCTGTTGTCCTTACAGCTCTGCTAGAATGAGCAAAAGGTATTCCTTAACTCTTCCCTCTGTAGCACCCCAACTATAATTTGGCTTCACTGCAGTAACTAAACAACAAGAACTTTCAATACTGCAGTGCAAGGCTGTAAAAAAGGGAATTCTGTGACCGGGCAGGCACTAGAAAAATGAAATGCTGGCTCCTCACTCGGTGTAAAGGCCCTTCTTTATGTTATTAGAAATTGCTCAGAACAAAATGAAACAACTCACTTAACACTGTTTAAGGTGATTTTTCCTCAGCCTGAAAGAATTACTTTCCTTTCCTCACTTCCCCCTGTCCCTCCCCAGATCCTGAACAGTTTTACTTTGAGTTGATGTGAGATGTTTGGGTTTAATTTTTCAATCCAACTACTGAAGCAGAAAAAGCAGCTATTTGCAGAGCCTTGTCCTGAAAAGACTCCAGTGCTTCCTTGGTGTTCCTTGGTGTAATTGATGCTCGTGGCTGAAATCTAATCACTGTATATTTTGATATATTACTTTGTCAGCGGGTCCTGCAATATGTTGTGCTGCTGGGTTTTGAGGGCGTTAATCTTTTAGTCCTCCCACATGCACCCAATCTGAGTCTCTGACAGGACACAGTGGCACTGAAGCAGGGTGGCTGGCATTTCCCGGAGTCGAACTTCTTTTCCCTAAACAATATCAACTCTTAAAGGCTCAACGCAGGTTCCCAGCTATCCCTGTTCTGCCTTGATTAAGCGTCTGGAATTAACTCACGGATTTTGCTGTGAGGATCTCTTGGTTAATGCCAGGAAACTCTCTGATGATGGGAGGCATTAGGTACTAGAGGTAGTAGTGGCACACTAAAAATAATAGAGGTCTGAAGAAACTTGTTAGTGTTAGCGAACTGATTCCTAATGCAGAGCGCGCCAGCCGTTACTTACACCAGCAGGACATGCACAAGTCCGAGAAATGAGAAGCATGGTTCTGAGTGCACTTCCCAAACACTCCTAAATCAGTATCTTGCTGTGTTTTATATGTCAGGCTATGTTTTTTCTTACATTTGTATTTTTGCTGCTGGACCTCAACCTTTTTCCTTTGTGGACAGCAACTTTGCTCGGACTGATTCGGATTTGCCTCCCAACTTGCTTTTCAGAGGTTCTGGGATTTTTCTGTTACAAAGATTTTCACAGGGAAATACTGATTTTTTTTTCCCAAGACTGAAACTCTGTGCAGCTTTGAGAAACTTTAATTTGGAATATTTCCCACATCAGCCTGGAATTTTTAGTCAAAGCCATGCACAAGGAAGACCTTGAGAAGCTTGCGAAGAGTCTGTTGGTAAGGAGCATTCACCAAGATGCGAGAGCCAAATTCAGCTTTTGTTCTTGCAAGCTCCTAAGCTGCTGGTTGTCAGGAACAGAAAGGGGATAACAGAGGATAACAGGGATAACAGATGACTCTGCAAATGCTATTGCTTCACTGCTCTCAAACACATGACAGGGAGACGAGTCCTGAGGCTGATCAAGGAGGGCAGTTTCTCTGTCCTCTGATCAAGTCATTTCTGGTGTGGGCTTCTGGTCTGTTGGTTTCGTGGAACTATTTCCCAGTGTTGATGGTTCTTGCAGAAGAGGAGCACCTCTGAAATCTTGGAAATTTCACGGGACAGCATATCCATTTCTTACGTATCTACCTTCTTCTTTGTCATAACAGTTTTTTTAAAAAAACAAAGCTCGTTATGATTTCTTAGCTGTATTTCAATGAGCTTATTCTACTGTTTTTGTTCTAAAATGTTAACAGTAGAGTGAATGGCTGGAAGATGTAGAAAAACTATGACCAGGCAGGGAAGATTTTCTGTACTATGGTAAAGAGTGCATAGAAAAGACAATTGTTGGTGTAGCTGTCAGCATAAAAGACCTAAATTGATATCAGTCTGCCCAGTTAGCTGATAAACAAGATACTTAATGCTGAACAGCCTTCAAAGCAGGTACCATGTACAACAGTGCTGGTTCCTCTCTTTCTAATGATGAGATACTCCTGGGTCTGTTAAGCAAAAACATGGGTAAACGTCCAGTTGCTAGTTTTTTAATTTACTGTCATTTGGTGATCTAAGCAAATTTAAATACTTTGCTGGCTCTTTGGATTTGCTAAATTGAAAGATTGCAGAATACACAGTAATACAAAATTTCCCTTCTCATGCACCTGTATCTCAGGAACACGGAATCGTTTACGCATTCAGTACTTGCTTATATTGTGCTATTTTGTGCTTAAGCACATATTTGATACATTTTTAAGCTTTTCTAAAGAAAAATAAGATATACCCCGAATGCTTTTGCTGGACTGTCAGTGGGAATGCCAGATCAGGCCTTGGCAACCCAGATGCATGACAGAGCAGTCATGCAGCACCATGTCTTCCTACAGAATGTAATATAAAACGACCTGGCTGCAACATCCCCAGTTGTGATGCTACCTTGATAGTGCTGGCAGGCTGAATTTCTGGGAGCTAATCTGAGTGGCTGTGGCCATGTCCTACCATCATTTTCTGATGATTTTTGAAGCCTGGTGAAAGGAATAGTGAACATAATACAAACGTCAGTAAAAATAGGATGTGAAACCCACGCCAGAGTCAGAGCTGTCAAGCTTCTAACAATATTATTCCCATGTAAGCATTAAAAAGCCTACATTTTCAAAAGGGAAACGTATTCCATTCTCCCCAAGACAGTGGAATTGCCAGTGTTTGTTGCGTCGTCTTGAATTTCCCCGTTACCGTTACAATTACAGTTACAAATGACACCTTTTCGTAAAGAGGTAAATAATTGGACACGTAGTGTTTTGAATGAGCAGCCACTCCTGGAAAAATGTGATTGTGTTAATTTTAAGGTATTAAGAAATTTCATTGATAAATAGCCTAAAGGGAAAAGCCAAAAATCCATGGCACAAGCAAACAAATGCTAATATTGGAGAATTCATTCTCACAAACAACTTCACATAAGAATACTATAATCTACAGTGACAGTCGTACCAAAGACAGAGTTTCCCTGATTAAAATATTAATCTACTATGGCTAAAACACAGGTGACATCAAGAAGCAAAAGTATTTTCAGCTAGACAGGTCCCTGCACAAATGACAGGATTCTAGTCCTTATTTTCTGTGTTAGGAATATATATATTTGTAACGAAGGGGAAAGTTAGTAGTGATTAATCATATAATTCTTCAGTGTTCTTATAAACCAGTGCTGAGTCATCAGAGACAGAAGAAGAAAAGACTGAGTCTGACTTTTTCAGTCATCAACACTGTGATTTACCAAGCGCTTGTTCAAAAGCTGTATGATAATCATTTCTTTGGATCCACTTTCCTTTTCTCCTTGTTTGCCCAAATAGGTGATGCTAGAGGAGTAAATCAACACTGAAAGTGCGTTTTGCTAATGATTTACTCAAGCCTCATAAAACACAATCTCAGCACATCTTCACCAGCCTGAATAGGCTGATGAGAGGTTTCTAGGAAGGTTTCAAGTCTACTCTTAAATTTATACTCAGGTTTCAACATCAAGGAAAAAGATTTTTTTTTGTTCTCGATATTTCTGTGTGTGAATATCTTTATTCAGCATACAGGATTTCCAGTGGTCGTTCTGTCCTCAGCAATTCCTGGATGAATCAAACAAGCGCCTGTGGCCAAGAGCACTGAAGGTCAAGGAATACGTGCAAGCATGGACAATTCATCCAAAATAATTCTGTTATTGAACTGGCAACTTCTTTGCTTTCAAAATGTTATCTTTAATATGCCACTAATTGAACTAAAGAGCCAATTTCATTCTTCAATAAAATCATGCTGATCTTTAACTTCAGGGAGAGCACTACAGGTAGGTTTTGTCCTCTGGGTACTCAGGATTACATTACGATAAAAAGGAATTTAAAAAAAATAGTTTGCTTTAGCACTGAGAGTATTATACAGAGCAAATCTTGATAATGAAAGAGTTGGCATTGGCAGTCTAGAATATTTCTGGGTGTTATTGGTGTTAACTGGTGCACCGGAAGCACAAGACACTACATATTGAACTTGTATGGGGAGTTAATTCCCTGAGGCAAGCAG